ACGCGATGGCAAAAAGGGAACAATCTTTTTTACATATCTTGATTTTTCAAAGATATAATCTTGAAGATTGCTCTCTTTAAGCGACATGGCACCAGTGTCTTTATATACATTCGATATAATAGATAAATGTGCGTCTCACATGCAAATTCAATCTCGGCAGATATATTCATCCCTTTATCTTCACAAACACATCATGACGGCAATCTTGCATCTTGTCTTTTTCTTTTTAGTCTCATGTCCTAATTGCATTTAAACAGTATAACAAAAAAACGGTGCAAGTACCAAGTATGTATACATCGTACGTGACGATCCTCGCGCGAAATCGTCATCTTCCACAACGGAGGACTAGGGCTTAGAAAAAAGAAAGGAAAGACTACTAATGTTTATCGTCGGCGAACGAAAGACTCAGCTCTTTGCCGCCACGGCCGACTCTAAGGTATCAGTTTTGCTAGTTTCCAAGTCTTTTGCCTTCTGTTCGACTTTAACGTCGTTCTTTTCTGTTGTTTTTTTTGTCTCCTTATCATTCTTCTTGGTATCTTTTTCAGCAATCGCCATGATGGCTTCGCTGCCATCCGGCGACTGTTCCTTCTGTCGTTTCTCAATCTCCGCCTTAAAATTATCGATATCCTGCTGGCTTATTTGCACAAAGAGAATGCCGTTGATGACATTGAGCATATCCAACACTGAGCCCATGCTGGGCGGCTGCACCTGAATCGGTGGCAGGCTTACACCAGACTTGCCCGTGTAGATCTCGTTCATTTTCTTTTGCAATACGACTGCCTGCTGAGTCAAATGCCGCAAGCAGTCGCTGCTTTCCTTTGTTTTCTCATGCTCCTCACCTAATAGCTGCTTATAAATTGCGTAAGTTTCCTTTTCGTTGTTTAACGCTGCTCGGAAATCGCCCATGCATGACTGTGTGCGTGCCACTAAATGATACGATACCGCAACCTTCAATGAATGAGGACCGTGATAACGTAAATTCAAGGCTAATGCGTGCTCTAGGAATCGTAATGACAGCTCATATTCACCGACCGCGTGCAGAATCAGTGAAATATTGCTCTGCAAAAATCAAATATGATGTTATTGTTATATTTCGAACATTAATTTTTTAGGAAATTTATGTTGCCTTAAAAATGCATCACACAGTAAAACTATTTAAACATAAATAAGGTATCACAATAAAATTATTTTAAAATTATATAATATTTTTTAATATTTTACATGAATTTCTAAAAATTATCTAAGATTAAACTTACATCGAGCAAGGCCACTTCTGGATGATCTTCACCACAGACTAATAATGCTAGATAACGTGCTCTGTATAATAATCTTAATGATACAGATACTTGCCCGTTGGCAAAAGAATATAAGGCGAGATGTATCTACAAGTACAAAATAATATAATTATTAATTATTAAATTTTAAAAGATATATTATTTATACTATTGTTTTATTTTCTATACAATAGTAAATTTCATATGCTATATAGGTGTATACAACGCATAGAATTATTTCTTTATCCTGCATTATTATTTTAACTACAACTGTCATTTATTTTAGTATGATCGGTATAACTTACGTATTCTGTAATGGTGTACGGATGATCGATGCCATTGACTCTTTCCGACATGAGAACTGCTTTTTGCTGAGTAGCAAGTGCTTCAGCATGATCGCCCATTATGTAATTCAATCTTGCTAACATTCTAAGACATTGTGCAATTTCAGGATGCATGGCACCATAAACATTATTAAGAAGATTCAGCGCTTCGCTAATTAATTCATATCCATCTTTTAAGTATCCTTGTTGAATTTTGCTTTGACCAGTGGTGTAAAAATTATACGCGTCGCTAGCCTAAAAAAAGTTGAAACGATTCCTTTACTTTAATCCGCAGTTTTGATTAAAATAAAAATTCTTTTGAGATTGTTAAGATTTAACGCTTATATATAGTTTTTCTGCATTAATCATCTCATTTACATTCATTTAAAATCAATGACTTACTCTAGGATTGATATGTTTGACGACGGGAAAGATGTTCAATATATCTTCTTCGAAGAAAGTTGCCCGGTTTTTGTTTTCGAAGTTATATTCACGCAATAGTATTTGAATGCCAGTCTTAATGCAGAAACCGCGTAGTAATGAAATTTTTTGTAGATAAAAATGTTCTATCGTGGCTTCCAGAGATTCTGGGCTCGGCGTTTCCCAGTCGTAATAGGCCTTCAAATCACTCTTAATTTGCTGCCACAATGATTTAGGTGTTAATGATGCCCATTCTACTTCTAACTGTTGCGGTCCGTTGTTTCTCCCCTTACGTTTATTGCGGCGTTTGGCAGTTTTGCTTTGAAGCTGAAATAAAAAATTTATGTCAATTTATCTCCTAAAATTTAATTATATAAAACATAATTTTAACAATTATTGTCCTTTATTATTATTATTAATTTGAAATTAACAAAATTTCAATTTTTTTTATTATTATATCATTAATTAACTGTACATAAATTATAAGTGTGAGGATCGATCGTACCTCTTCTAGATTTTGTTGTGGATGTATAATCTGTGCCGAAGACAGCAAGCAATTCAGAAAATGACTGACGGCCGCGGACAGATTCATCAAATCCGTACCCTGTAAAATGATACATTTACAATTTTTTGATATATTTCTTAAACATATCACAATTTTATTTTCGTATAATTACCTGCATGTAAGAGGTGAAAATATGTTTCGCCGATCGAAGTATCAGTTCGGATACAGCAATGCGGTTGAGATAATGCAACTGTGGCACTGCGACTAACATAGCCGCCAATTTACCAAGATAGCGAATGTTAATGCCTCTACCGTGAAGAGCTTCCACTAATGTACTACCGTCCATCGCGGCTGCCGTATGATCCAAACACTCCCGAATCTGAAATAAACATTTACTTAAAAAAAAAAAAAAAGATACAATTGCGCAATTGTGAGTACAGTTAGAAATAGTCCACATCTCAGATCTAATTACAGAAATATTAAAAATATACGCTCTGTTAAATTTTTACAACAAACTTACGAATGCCGGCAGCTGCACCGTGAGTAAGAAATCTGCAGCATCCTTTACTAATTGTTTCTGCTTCTTCAGATCGGAGCCATTAAGATCTGGATGCTTAACGCCAGGCGAGAACACGTCCGGATTGAATCTTACATCGAATTCAGCGTCGCGCAGACTACCCACTGCCGTTGCCGCTTTTCGCACTATCTCTTTCGTGCTCTCCTCCACTATCGTAAAAATAAAATTTGTTATAAAACTAATTCTAATTTATATGATAATTTCTTTATGATTTATTTTTTTTTAACATTCATTATTTCTTCTATAAGTAAAATTCTAACGGTTTCTTCACATATACGAATCTATATAATCAATGTTTTTTCTAGGAAAAAATAAGAAATATAATACATACGTTCTTGTTTCTCGCCACCTGTAATCGAGTCAGTGATGCTCTCGACAATCTTCTTCGCTTCGTCGGCCTCTATTAGAGATTGAGCGCAGTCTTCCTTGTTACTGTCCGTTACAGCAGTTGAATCTTCTTTTTTGTCCTCTTTCTTATCTTCCTAGAATTATTAGTTTCTATTATCTACACTATTTCAAGTTATTCGCATTTGTACAAATATAACAAAATGGGAAATATAATATTAAAAAATATTTATTTATACCTTGGCAATTGTCTCTTTTTCCTTTAGAGATCTTCTAGCAGACGTAAGCTGTTGAAGATGAACGGCTGCATGTTTGATAAACTGAACGTACCTGGCCTCGACAAATGAATCTATGAGTTCTTGCCGTAGACAGGCCAATCTATGTTTGTGTTCTACTGGAAAACCCAAGGCTCGTGCTTCTTTGCTTAGTTCCACACCTTCGACTGAGCAAGAAATATATTTCCCGAATAAATAAAAATTGACAAATTCATAAATAAACAAACAGCTTCTTTTTCATGATTATGATAAAATTGGTAGGTCTCAACTCACGTTTCAGAAAATTTACATCGGGTGGGAAAGTCCTCAACAGATCGAGCACATAATGTCGTGAATCGTTACCAATGATACCCTTGCATTCGACGCTACTGCAAAGTTCGATTTCCTCACCTGCATCGTTGATTACTTTATGGGGAAGAATTTTCAACTGCTGTCCAGCTTTGTTTAACTAAACGCAAGTATTTAAAATATTTGAATAATAAGTCATATTAAATAATAATACGGCAACATTATTTTAGTAAGCTTATGTTTATTTACCAATTCAAGATATTTAGGATGCGTAAGAACAGTCTTCCCGAAATCGATCGATCCATAGACTACTGATTGTTCTTGTTCACGTTCCAATATACCCGGTATAATGGATTGTGCGGTGATACGATAGCCTCTACAAGAAAATTCATACCAAAGATTAAGTAAGAACACACCAATAAGAAAATTATAAGGAATTCGATAAACGTACCTGTAATCGATGACGACGGTGCCGAGCGTATAGAGACCGGGCAAGTCGACAGCCGCGTATACTCGGACACCTTGTAGATCATTGCGAGGTGCAACAAAGGCAGCGGCGTCACCACCTAACTCTTTATAATGGTCACGGACATCGAAGCCGAGAGAGAAGAAGATATTGTTCCAAATGAACATTTGCATTTTGGCTTCCTCACCAGGATTTATCGCCATAACATTGCCATCAATAACCGCCACTGCTCCGCGAGTCGCGGCTGCCACGAAGTCGCTATGAACCTAAGCAATGTAAAAAGAATTAAGAGAATTATTTAAGAATTTATTATTAAAATGATTAAAAAATATATAATTTATTTTTATTATTTTATTATTTTAGTTTAATTCAATAATTATTATTATGTACAATGTCTTTAACTTAGAATTAAAAAAAGAATTTATCACAAAGAAATAAAAAGTAAATATAATTTCGTTGTAGTACTTTGAAAACATTATATATCATATTATACTCAAAAAGGCTCACATAAGAAAAATCAATAATATACCTTGAAGATAGCACGCTCTCGTAGCAATCTTTCAGGAAGATTTTTACGCGACAGTTCTCTCGTAGTTTGTAATTCCTCGTTCCAATCGCGTGTTTGTCCCGGGATGTGTTCTTCGTATCCCAATTTAGAGGAAAAAGCTAAGAAAAGATTGTTTAATTAAATTTCAATGACAATGTCCATAGATACTAATCCATTAGCACACATTTTCGAATAATTAAAATTAAATGTGACAATTTAACATAGTTAAAACACAGTTAAATGAATTAAAAACCGGCTAATCATTTTCTTTTTATTGATATCTATGCATTTTCTTTACTTCTTTTAGAACTTACTGTCTTCCGCGCGAATAGCGTCAATAGTGTGCTCAATTTGTGGTGCACTCCAAGCATACAATTGATAAGGGGTGGCGACTCGTTCAAAAGGATGTCTCTGAGTCCTGCGTCGTTGCATAGAAGCAAATCCTCGTTTAAAGGATGGACTGAGTTGATTCAATAGTTCAATGAGACTGTGACATAAATGGCTAGGCGTAGCTGGTTTAGGATTAAATACTTCTTTGGTCGATTGGTTGACAAAGAATCCTCTGGCGCATGCAGTCAGATAGTATTGCTTGTCCTCCAACGTAACCACATGTAAGTATATTAGATCGCCGTGAAGCTTTCTGTGGCCAGGTGGTGGATTCCATCCTGACGTTGTTAGGACCTTTAGAAAGAAATTTAGAAATCTTTTATTTATCTTTTCTTCATAGAAATAGAATCTAATTCTGAATTTTTTTAAAAAGAAAAAAAATATCTTTGAGCAATTTTTCTTCAAAACAATTAATTTTTATTATTTCGAGTTAACAATATAATTTATTCTTTCTTGTTTTATTCTCTTCTAACTTATGATTATTAAACTTTTATTATTATTATTAACTTTTATTATTAATTTTTCAAGAATCACTAACTTTGAGACACGGTGGGCACTTTTGCTCCTTCGCCTGCGGCTGGAGAGGCAACAGGGGTCTCTCCCTACAACCGGGTATGATATAATCAGGTGGCGTGCAATCGACTGAATCCGCGCGGGTCTTCTTCTTCTCTAGGATATCGCCATTCGTGACAACGTTAAGAAATGATAGGCTACTGCATTCGACACCGTTGTAAGCATCTGCGGGATCTACAGATTTCAGCAGGTCGCGTACGTGTCGCACATGTATGCGTGCCTCCCGCATCGTGTACGGTTCCTCCACCACCTTGATAATGGAAGCATCCTTTAGACCCTCAATATTCTTCAGTTCGGCAAAGTTATCTAACGTGTTGCCATCCAGTTGCAGTGAAAAGCACGTGCGGTGACACGTGTCTTCGCGGTCCATAAGTAACTGATGAATTTCCTGCAGAGAAAAGATGTCAGGAAAATTCAAGCATTAGTTTAGGCGTTAATTATTTAATTTTTATCGGAGTACTTTTTAAAAATCTTGTCATAAATTTAGCATAAATAACATGATACAATATAATAGACACATAAATATAATACAAAGCTATAAATAGAATATTAACAAGAAGATAATTGATTGTTATTAAAAATAAAAATATTAGAATAAAATAAAGTTCAAGATGTTCGTAAAGACAGTTAATTAAAATGATATAATTAATAATTTGAATAATATACCCTTAGCCATGGTCACAAAAATTTTATTCAGAAAGCGTTGATACAATTACCTGTACCAACTCCATGCTGGATACTTGAATGTCAAAAGGTTCGGAACCGGGGCTGACAATCTTGACAGTGAAGCCCAAGTCTTGAATAAAAACAACTTCTTGTTCACTTGAAACATCCTTTTCTTTTTCTGCTTCTTTCTCGTTTTTATCACTATTTTTATTGTCTTCATTTTTCTCCTTTTCGCCCTCTTTTGTTGCCTCAACTTCTCCCTTTTCCACAACGTTCTCCGTAGCCGTACTTGTACTTCCGCTGTCCTCTGTTTCCTTTTTCACCTCTACAAATAATTCACCATATATAAAGAATTCCAAGATTCTGCGAATTATTTCATGAATTGTTGTGTCATGTTACATATTTAATGTGTTTTATCAAAGTCCTATTACATTTATTGCATTAATTTATAAAATTTATAATATTAAGAATTATCAACAAATCAAGATATTGTTTAAATTTTCAAATTTGTTGATTTCTTTGAACTTATTTATATAATAATTTCAAAATATGATATTGTTCTGCATCTTCATTAGTTACATCATACACACACACACACACACACACACACACACACACACACACACACACACACACACACACACACACACACACACACACACACGCACACGCACGCACGCACGCACGCACGCACGCACGCACGCACACAAATTCACAGATTAAACAAAACTTAAATCTCAAATGATAAGATAAATAAAAAGATAATTAAATCAAACAATAGAAATTACAGAATCCAATGACTTTTTCTTCGCCCTAACACTGAAAGGGACACGATGCATTACAAGACATAAATACATCACAGTCTAAGTTGTTTCATGTTGTCAGGCACACTTTCTGATGTACTTTCAGACGCACTCTTTCACCACTTGCATTGACTTGATGTGCTTATAAATAAGCGGCAAAGTAAATAGTACGCACTGTACTATTTATATTGGGACACGTGTTTGCAATACGCATCAACTTTGAATCACCAGTACTGATCTATGTCAAGAGAACTTATTGGACTTTGTTGATAATAATTGTTATCTTTCGTTGTAACAATATTTAATCTTGCCGATTCAATTTTTCATTTCTATTTAATATTTTTTAATTTAATCCTCTTATTTAGTACTGTTATTTTAAAAATAGTTACACTATTTTTAAAATAACAATACTAAAATTCATAGTTAATTTCCAATATAAATCACTTTATACATTTAGTGTTTTTATCTTATCTCTTCTTGCAGTCTTTTCTTTTTTTTTATTATTATTATTATTATTAAAGCCATTGAAATTATCAATTATATTAGTTTCTTATAAAATTAAATTTATATAAACGCACTCTTTTTCAATTAAAATTATTATATATTCTTATTAATAATAATATGAAATTTTGTTTTCTGTGACGATTGAATTGCATGCTTGGCATTCTGATTGTACTAGTTTCTAAATCAGTGTTTAACACCGCATAGTTTCGTACAGGTGATTGCAACTAATTTTCCGCTTAGCTGAGCCACTTTTTGTAAATATCATCGATTTCAAGCAGTCGTCAACAATACGTAGCAGGCGAATCGCATAACTGATAAGAGAACTAAGTATCCATAATTCATGCTGAGAATTAGATAAATATGAGTTCTTGAAGAAAAAATCGACAAAATACAAATTTTGCAATTTAAATAATTTAAGTAATAATAATAATAGTAATAATAATTAAATAATAATATATATAATGATATATAATAATTAAATAATAATTTTGTTCTTAGTAATTTTCTAAGCATGTATGTAAATTTTTGAATTATAAAGTGAATTGAATTAAATAAGAAATTACATCTTTTATGTAGTAAACAAAAATATTCTTGAAACAATTAGATAACAAAATTTTCGTCGAAAATATTTTATAGAAAATTCTTTCTTTTCATGTTCTTTGGTGCTTATCGTCTACTTTACTGTCTTATCATCATGTTATCGTGTATGGTTCCATCGTTGTTATGTATAGAAGCGTTGTACTCCTGTTACAACGCTACGCGGACACGTTAACGCGATACAGATAAGGCATTTTATCACAAAATAATGTGATGAATAGCAGGAAGAATCTATTTGGACAAGAGTCATGAAGATTATAGTGAACATTAAATTATGTCTATTTAGAAGTAATATATAATAAGATATCGTAAAATTAAATTTAAACTAGATATTAACAAAGGATGCAATTTATAAAAATATTTATTTTTAAAGATGTAGCTTTATAAAAGAAAAAATTAGTATTAGACGAAAATGATCAATTAAATTTCGAAAAACTCGCAAATTGTCGCGCATGTTTTTCTTCATTATTATAGTTATCTATTATTAGCTACTCAAGCTTCGAAATGAAATGCATTTAAAATAGGTATTTCAGTGGTGTAAACAGGTGATAATATTCACGACTCACTCTTAACAACTGATAAATGGAATATCTACCAGTGATATTATTAGACTGTTATTGCTAATAATTATCGTGCATAAACATTTATGCATTTGTCTCTAAAATAGAGCTCAGACTCACAAGTTAATAAATGCCATCGTCAATTTCATTCATGAGAAAGACTTAAAGTGTGACTTTAAAATATCATTCATAAAATGCCTACGGCCAGATGATCATTAATACTCGTGAATCGCCGCGCTTTCCTTCTCGTCATTAAACTGCCACTTAATTTAATTCACCTTTAAAATAAAAAACATAATACTCAAATAGATTTACATTATTAATAAAAAAGGTATAAAAATTCAATATACATTGTATTGATATCAAAAACTTAATATAAATATATTCACATATATAAATATATACGCATAAGTAAAAAAATGATTTATTTATTAAATATTTATTAAATAGATAATAAAAAATTTAATTAGATAATTTAAATAGAAAATAAAAAAAATTCTTGAATTTCAGAAGCAAATTAAAAAAATTGTGTTTGTTCTTGCGAAAATCAATCCCAAGAAATACATTCGTAATGTAAAAAAGGTGTATAAAACACTCCTAATTGTATAGAAGTTTGTCTATTTAAATAAAATCTGTGTCAAGAAAGTGGACAGACGGACGTGAATATATAAACTTGAAGACAGATATATGGGGTAGATGACTATAGTATTTACTACTAAATATAGAATCCAAGCGGGTTTACTGTACGGGAGTTATGCGAGTTCACACTGTGCCGAAGACACGTGAAGAGGATCGATTTAAGCACGCAAGCTCAAAGGTGAAAGTACGAACATCATAGCGTGCTACAATTGCACTACACAGTTAACTCGACTCGATTATCATCGAGGGATGTTTGATGTAGAAATCGGTGCACAAAATAATAACTGGCACCGATAACCTCTGCTATCGATACTCTGCAATTCCATGTATTGTTCCCTTGGTTCACGTGCAGTAAGAGGCGTATCATTAACACGAGACTCACTTTCCATCTAGCTTCTAATTAAACCTGCAAATACACGAGCAATTATACAGAGTTCTCAAGTCTAGTTAAGTTTCTCAAATCATAGTCGTTTAGGTTTTCACATGCAACTTACAAAATTTTTGAATAAAACGCTCATATAAACTAGAGTTTAATAGACTGAAAAATTAATTGTTACTTGATGCTTCTGAAAATAATTCTGATTAATCTAAAAAGAACTGTTACTTAACAATTTGACAAATTTCAAATTTTCAAACACACATGTCATTCATCTGTTCCGAAAAGAAAGTATCCTGAAGTTCATTAATGAACAAGACATCTTTCAAAGATACCCTCCCATCAATTGCGAAGGCTCCGGTTGCACACATCGCATATTACACATATGCACATCGCTAATTGGCTAATTTAAAAATAAAATATTCTCATTGGTAAAGCTGTAAAAAATTACTAGGTACCACCACCTGAGTGGTGTGTGTAATCGGGATTGTAGGAATCCTCCCCCGTCAATCAATATTAATCTTTGAAAGAGAAACACGTCATTGCTTCTACTCCTGTACTTTTTCCATTTACATTATTTATGCCGAGCATAGAGAACAAATTCTAATGAAGAAATTGAGAAAATTATTTTATCTCTTGCTTAAATCGATTTTTAAAAATTATCTAATTCTTTCTTTTCTATTTCTATTTCTTTCTTTATATTTTTCATATTTTGATTGTGTATACAATAAAATGAATCAATCTTATTATGATTGTGTAATAATCAGTAATCATCGTAATATTCGCTTAAAAAATGAATCTTTCAAATTATTTTAAATATCTTGGATCTTGACATACATCCATCCCAGCAACGAATACATTGCACCATCTTGACGTCACTCTGAATATCGATATTGCATCATAATACACAGCCGTTTATCTCACTCTGTATTATCAATTCAAAATATTAAACATATCGTGAAGGGAAATTTATTATGCATATCAACATTAAATAAACATATATCCAATTTCATATTCGGCATTCACAGTCCAATCATATCGTGCCTCATTATTTTCATCCTAAACACCGATGTTATATCATGCCATTTCCTTCCATTCTATAAAAATCAAGACTTGATATAAATTATTTACACACACAGTTCTAAAAATGCTTAGATTAACATCAAATTATTAATATCCTTCTAAAATGTTTATTAGCATCAAAATTATTTCAAAGTTTCAGACTCGCAAAGTTGAACTCCTCTCTCCCCCATTCTATTACTTTAAATGATATTTTTATCACTTTAATCAAACTCTTTCTACAATCGATTGAGAACTCTAAAACTTATCGGGGGGATAACCAGAACTCTTCTTATTTTGTTCAAATTTTGAAAATTGAGGCCGACTTCACAAAAGTATATAATTATAATTTGTTATAATTGTTGACAATACATAGAGGCCTCATATTTGGACATATCTGATATTTTCAATGTTTTCGTGGAGCACAGTGGAAATCATATTAAATATCGTTATTCATCCGTGGTGAAAATTTTTCTCAGAATTATTCATATAATTTTTCAGAATTTCTTCTCTATAATTTTATAACTTTTTCACATTTTTTATATAAATTGGAACATTTCTCAGAAAATCTTTTCTCAGAATTTTTCATATATGTTAATTATAAAATATCGTAAAACTTCTAAGATTTCTATTTTTTATAAGTATAATTCCTGATAAAATGTTATAAAATCTAAAAAGTTTAAAAATATTTTTTAAAAATTATGGGATGAGAAATTTCAGAATATTTCAGAATTGTATGAAAAATTCTGAGAGAAGATATAAAGAGAAGATATAATTTCTGAATATTTCTGAGTATTTCTGAAAAAAGTTCCAATTCGTATAAAAATTATGAAAAAAATTTTCATCGGGAATCCTAAACATTAATATTACATCATATCATTTTTTTTGCCTTAAAAATCAAGATTTGTAAATTAATACATGGAAGCTTCGTGTTCAGACATAATCAATAGTACCAATCGATGTTTTGTCGAGCACAGCTGGAGATGTATTATGTAAATATGATTACAGCATGTTTGCGTAATTATATAATTATATACGGCATGTTAGTTTCCATCGTGCGAATGGTGATCTACGGATCATCGGTAATCCTTAATTAATTTAACAGAATCGAGAAGCTCGTTGAAGGACTCATCGCAGATTCGCCAAGCTTCGTGAATAATCAATTGCTTCACGTTTTAAAGAATCCCAATAATTCGCATCTTTATTCTAATTAGGCTTGTTTCTTTCAACTGAACTTCTTGCACGATTCATCTTTTCTTTTTTTCTTTCCAACGTAGAGAAAAAAAGAACAAATCAGAGATTATCAAAGTTGTCAGTATATTCGCATGCTTGAAGCATCTTTTGCAACATGCAGTTTTGAATTTAGCAAGCAAACTCCGGTTTCTCAATTGCAATTCGTATTGTTTATCGCATGGAATGCAGAACCTGAGAAAATTTGCAATGTAATTTCGTGTCGTTCCGTTCGCCGACATCATGGTAAACAGATCGAGTACCATGTAAGAAGCATCATTCGATCTAAAATCTAATCTTCAATGTGCTCTTTGCTTCCTGTTTCTTACTTTTTATGTCTTATCTTTTTTCCCCTTTGCGATTGTTTTATCAATCATTGTCTTTATCTCTTTCGAAATTCTACTTTCAAATATTTAAGAAGAAAACGAATAAACAGGATAAAAGACAAAAAGATAAGTGAACTTATTACGGTTCTTTAGACGAAGTGAAAATTACAAAAATGATCAAACCCCCTCACTAGGTGTTAACCAATGAAGTTATAAATATTCTAATAAATTCGATCCATTTTCGTTATTATCACCTCGTTTCAAACCATAATAAGCCCCCAGAGATCATCAAAGTGGTAAGAAGAAAGGAAATAAAGAGATTAAATGTTGTAGATTAAACTTAAAAGATCACGATGAGTTCGTCGCTTTCCTGAATTCCTCTGCGATTCTCCGTCTCGAGAAACAGCTTTATGTAGTTTGACGATTGTTCAAAAGAATGAATTTTCTTTCTTCCAGTGTCCATGTATACCGTAAGTTTTCAAAGGGACGTGAAGATGTTCTAAAGATATCCAGAGGACGTCTGTCTTGAAGACGTCTAGAGAATGTTTGCATCCTAAAGATGTCTTCAAGACGTTCCTCAGAGATGTGTGTTGTGTGGATAAATTTAGTCATAATTTCCACAAATATAAAGGACAAAATACGATTGTTTTTTCTAGACGAATTATTGCTCTTCTTGCATAGTTCATCTTTCTTCTTTTTTCCATCAATGTGAAAAAAAAGAGAAAAGGTAAACCATGTAAATGTTTGACTTAAAAAGAACATACTTAAGTCCTGAAACACAATAGGTGTAGTAAGCCTTAAGGAATTCAATCACAGTTAAATGATCGACTGATTAGTCAATTTCTTAAAGCTTACTACATCTATTATGTTTCGGAATTACTATCGTTATCAGCTATAAATTGATAAAGAAAAAAAGAAAGTAATGTGGAAATAATTAATTGAGAAGGTCAATTGTGTATTTTAAATGAAGAAAATTACAAAGTGAGCGAATTTACTGAAATATTTATATTTTTATTAATTAATATTTGAATTTGTTTATTTATTAATTTTTACCTCGTTTTTAAGGTAATTCGATCTTCAGAAAGAAAACGCTTTCGTAGACCGGAAGGTCAGTAAGGCTGGAATCAAACTACGTATTGAAGATTGAAGATTTGGGCAATGAAGACAACGGAAGCTTTTAACTTCTATTGTTTTTTAATCGGTCAAATAACAATTTTTCAATCTCAAATGCGTAGTCTGATTCCGGCTCAAGGAAATTCATCCGTTGGCGCCGCGGCGCGTCTTCTGCTAGACCTGCCCCCTCGCCCCGGCGTCCCTCCTCTTGCTACTTGAGGCTCACATGACCCCGTGCGCAGAGACTCGCGCAATTCGTGGGGGTTACATAACGTATGAGGCATCGCTTTATCCCGTTTCTACACGCGCTCTTTCCGATCGTGCGCTCTCTCCTTCTCGCTCGATGGAGGCCGGCTTCGCGTTCGATGAGCCGAACGACGAAGCGAAAAACGGTCCCGACGATCCGTGAAATATCTTCGTCGGGACACGAGATGAGACCGGCGTCGTTCCCATCAAAGATTACATAACGCTCGTGGGTCAGAACGATGAGCGAGTTTTGGCTCGCGGATTAACCTTAAAAGAAACATCGTGCGGCACCCTCGTGGAGCGCGCGTTGCCGCACGCGATAATTTCATATCGGTACTGACCGGTCACCTTCGTAGCCTCGTGCACCTGATCGCCATTCAGCAGGGGTATCTTCGCGCTGTCGGTATCCCGTTCGGACGTGTCGATCTGTGCACCGACTGCCATTTCCTTGGACTTGGACCACTCCGGCGATGATGAAAGAAATGACGATGACGGTGACGACAGGGTGTAACGTGACAACGTGGTTTTCTTGTTTCTTTGTATTACTTCAATTACCTCTTTGCTCTCTCGCGTAAACCTCGTTCTCTCTGTCCGTTCTTTCACTGTCCTTGCTGCGATTTACGGTCACGCGCACGCACGCCCTTTTGAATCGTTCGTCCGGGACGGAAAGCAACGACGACGTCCGACTTTTTCACGGGGCGGCAGACAACTTCAGCGCGCGCGAATCCTGCGGCCCGCACGTGCGTTTCGAACGGTCTGCGGCAAATTCTGCGGCACGGCCAGCGATTGGTTCGTCGCGGTGATCCGCGATTGGTCCGCCGTACTGATTCGCGATTGGTCCGTCAGTGTTGCGCCTGCGCAATGTGTTTTCGTGCGCACAGTTAACAAATCACAAGAAAACGATTAATTTAAAAAACTTTATTTGATATTTATATATATTTTTTTAATATAAACATTTTTGTTTAATTTACTTTTCATCTTTCCCTAATTTTAAAAATTAAAAGGTAAAAAGGAAATTATACCAATTTAAGATTAAAATTAATCTAATTTTGATTACAAAAACGGACATAATTCGGAATTGCTTATTTTATATCCATTTCTACCAAGTAATTTAATCTCAGATATTTTTATGTCTTTCTGATCCTTAGAATTAAAAAAGGATAGAAGTAAGTTAAATTGAAATTGATGTTAATCTACATTGAAAATTTAAGCCTACGGCACACGATGTTTGTTTTCTTGTGGGATTCCTAGCTGGATTAGAATCTAGCCATCGTATTGGCTGCAATATCAACATCGCAGCCAATATGATGGCAAAATTCTAATCCAACTAACAATCCAGCAAAAAAACAAGCATTGTGTGCTGCAGGCTTTAGTTCCGAAAAAATGGGTGATTCGATATTTTTTTTTCGATGGATTTTGGAAGCCTTACTCATATAGAGCAGTTGAATGTAATGATTAGATTCATAATCAACAAGGCGATTTTACAGTGGCGTAAAAAATATTTTTTACATCACTGCCCGTATCGCCCAGCTGATTGATTGTTGCTTCTGCTGCTTGACGTTTGTGTGAATGCACTTTTATAGTTCAATGAGCTTTTGCATCTGATTGGCATATTCCATTAGATCTAAAAATATAAACTAAACAAATACATTCGGTTACAGAAAGGTTGTAACACTTTATTTTCGATAGGTTTCGAAATGCTTGCTCATCAAGCGATTGATTCTTATTTATGGATCTATATAATAAATCTATATAATGGATCTATAATATGGATAAATAAGAACCAATCACTTGATAAATAGGCTGCATTCCGAAACTAATCGAAAAAAAGTGTTGCAATCTTTCTATGACCGGCTGTGTAATGACCGTATTCATAGTCAGACTTTGTACTTAAGACTTCTTTAAATTTATCTTTAGATGCTCAGCAGCCATGAAATAATTCATTTAGTATCTGAAGATTGAAAAAAATTTAAGAAAGTCTTAAATATAAGACCTGATTATGAATACGGACATAAGAGCTCATTGAGCGTCCAATAAGGCCGGCGTTTCATGAAATTTACAGCGGAACGAAACAGCGAGATCAACACAATCGCAAAAAGAAAGCAGAGTAATAATTGCAGAATTGTGATTGGTTGCGCCGTTCTGTTCCACTGTAAATTTCCGTTCATGGAACGATGGCCTAAGCGGTCGTGCTTCTGAATGTATCTAATGGATTTTCAATATGAAGCATTCAATACGAACGCTCAGTGAGCTCTTGTATCTATTTGGTCTATATTTTTAGATCTAATGGAATATGCCAATCAGATGCGCTCACTGAGCGCAATGAACGATGTAGTATTGAATGCACCCAATTGTAAATGATATGAATACTTTTTGGGAGAATAAGATCATTTCACTGGTCATAGAAATCGATCTTTAAGTTTTTACATCCCTGGCGTTTCTAACCTAACGGTGCGCACGGTACGAGGTATTTGTTAGCAGCAGTTAGCAATATTTGTCCATGTAAAAATAAAGACTATTGTGTTTCCAGGAAGATCGACGCAGCACGAGGAAAAATTTCTAAAACGATTGTTTTAAAAGAGCTGCCCGACAAGACCGCGAGTGAGGTTAGACGGCGCAAGGATGTCAGCGGAAGAACTGCCGGAGTTTCGACTGGAGTTGGGACCGGTTCCTAATGTCACTTATCCCATCCGCGTTCAATATTGCGGAAACTGTTCGCTACCTATTGAGGTAAATCGTTACTTTTAATACTGATATGAAAAATATATGCTTGATTACAAAAATGGTGGAATCATAATTGGCAATCGAAATGTATAATTAAAAATTAATTACAGCATGTTTTATCTTAGAAAGAAACGATAAATGTTTCAATTCAAGTTAATTTCTTCGTCCCTTTCAATGGAACAATGTGACTCTCAGAAAAAAAGGATAGTCAAAGAGATTTTTAAGAGATGTGTTGAATATAATATGGAAATCATTCTGTTTCTGTTTGATATTTAGTAAGAGAGAAAAACAGAATGATTTTGTATTAATATACTTATATTGCTTATGGAAAATATACTTATATTTTTTTTATTAGAAATTTGAACCTGATAAAAATCTGATGATCATTGATTTACAGTACTGCGAATATTATCCAGAATATGATAAATGCAAGCAATGGCTAGAAAGGAATCTACCTACTGAATTTGAAAAGATAAAATTAGGTAATTATGAACAAAATTGAGCATCATAGCGAACAGTTTAAGATTGTAACTGAAGGATTATTTTTCAATCAGCTACAGAGGATGGTTCTACTGAAGTCAGCACAGGAGAGGATGAGAAGAAGCGGCAGAAGCGAGGCGGTAAAGGTATGCTGAAAACCAAGAAGAAAGAGGATATACCACGATTGGTAACTATCTCCAGAGCACCTAGAGGAAAGAAGAAATCCGTCACAGTCGTAACTGGCCTTAGCACTTTTGGTAATACAACATCAAAACAATCTAAAATTTAGATTGTAAATGAATAAATGAATAAAATTTAGATTGTAAAACGAATAAATATTCTAATTTTGAATAATTTATTTCTTAGATATCGACTTGAAAATAGCAGCAAAATTTTTCGGTAGTAAGTTTGCTTGTGGATCCAGTGTGACTGGAGATGACGAAATTGTTATACAGGGAGACGTCAAGGATGATTTGTTTGAAGTGATACCTGAAAAATGGCCACAAGTAAGTTATGAAAAAAAGAGGAAGAAAATAGATATATTGAATGCAAAGTGGAAAATCCAATTCTTTTTTTTTTCAGATTGATGAAGACTCTATAGACGATCTTGGGGATCAAAAGAGATAATAAGGCTATCCACTATTATACACGCACAATAATTTAATTATACACTATTTCCAGTCATGTTTATTATATAAATAAAATGTACATACATAAAATATATTTAAATAAGTTATTTTTTAAGGTCTAAAATTAGGTTTCTTGTTCTGTGTCTTCCTCATTTCCTCGCACATTCGCGACGATTTGAAGCACAGTGTTCACCTCTTCCTCTGATAATCGTTCCTCGCTCTCTTCCACTATCTATACATAGTTATTTCAGAATAGATTTATCATCAATTAAGAAACGTCGAAAGATTCGAATCTCTGCTTCTTAATCAAGTAAAACAGTACTATCCAAGATTTGTAATTCTGGGAATTGGCTTAATGTGTACCAGCATTGGAATGTATTATTTTCTTTTTTCTATTTCCATTAAGAATAACCTTAAAATTACAAATCTTGGACAGCATTGAATAGGATATTTATAAGAAAGAAGTCATACCAATTGAATCTCGAGAGGTGTAGTAGGACAAAGATTGAGAAGAGTGAGCTTCTCAGCCTTAGTTAATTTGATAGGCTCCATGGCTCTCAGAAACTCTCGGATTTTCTCTGGATTCTGCTTCTTACACGGTGTGTCTTCTAGATACTTGATTGTCTGATAAGTGATGGTTGCAAGCTGATTCATCTTTTGTTTCTTGTAAGAACATTTCGTATTTTGCAAAATATCCAAAACCTCGTAATTACTCAGAAGAGTGTTCCAGTTTCCTTTTATGCTATAAAACCAATGATAGTGAGATATAACAATTCTCGCGAAAAGCGAAAAATCTAATGGATTTAATGACAACTTACACTTTCATGTCGTATCTTCTTAAATTAATAGAGATTTTATATGTACAAGTGATTGCAAGTCAATACAATTTTTTTCTTATGTTCTCCGTTGAAGGAAAAGTCAATGATATTTAAACCTCGAGGTTAAAACATTCGAAAATTAATATCGTTCTGTTAAATAAAAAAAAAGTGCACTAATCCTTTGTTTACTTACAGAGATTCTATAGCTTTGTTTTATTAGTACTGATTCAAATTGCGACTTTTTTTGGCGATTTTCGCAATGTTCCTCACATTCCTGACGTGCTTTTGCAATATGTTTACATTCATTTGCACTTGTTCCGTTCGAGTGCTGTAATTGGTTCTTCACAGTTGATCCTTCCATACCTTTTCTCTTTCTCTCTAATGATAAATGTACTACATCTATGATCATAAATTTGTTTTAAAACGAGATAAATATATAGTCGGGCATGAGAGAAAGAGAAAACGAAAATTCTGAGTTTAAAAAAGGCAAGCAACCTCAGAATGTAAAAGGAGTGATTACGAGGAACATAAGAAAATCGAGAAATTCGTATTTGCTCACAACTCTGTCTGATATTTCTAAAAAAATTACGTTACACGCATATGTTTTTATAACGAGTACATGAAAACTAAAGGAAAAAAATAGAAAAAAAATCCTGACCCCGACGTGATTTGAACACGCAACCTTCTGATCTGGAGTCAGACGCGCTACCGTTGCGCCACGGAGTCATGTGATAGTGACATCCGAATTGCGCTCACTTCAGGCCACTGAACTCGCTAGCGTAGTCAAGATGCTTGCTGCGCATGCGCAAGCGCTTTCTTCTTAATTCTCACCTTGTTTCTCTCTTTCTTTAATCGGATGGATTTTTCATTTTTTCCCCTTCTTTGTTTTGCCGTCAAAATATCAAACGCATACTTATCTTCGATCGAAGAAACGGAAGAAAAAGTTCCTGTTAATTCCAGAATCGCACGGCGGACCGTATCAAACGTCCATTTTGCCGCCATTTTGCTCGCGCAGCTCGCGTCAGAGCCATCGGAGAATTAGGAAACGATTTCGCGGACAATTTCGCCACTCGCGAAGGAAATTCAAAGACACACGATTTCGCGGCGACCTGGGGAGTCGCATCGCATGAGTGGGGTGAGTTTCGCGCACGATCGAGTATTATCGCGCCAGTTCGAGTTCATCGTTCGGACGATTCCGTTAGTCGAGCGGGATTTTGAATTCAGAACGCCTCTTCGGCGTGATGCGATATGCGATGGCGGGTGTTGAAAACATGGGAACCTGATAGTGACCCAGATCTGTCGTTCATCTAGCTCGATCGTAATATTCGTGCGTCGCGGAAACGTCGTACACAGTGGAGAAACGTAATCGGAGTAATTCTGGAAAAAGTGAAGTTAGAGATTTCGCGTTAGGATTTTGTAATTCCGTCCAATTCCTTCGGCTGGCATCGCGCGGGAAAGATCGGTTCGCGAGCTCGTGTTTCAACAGTGCCGCAGCAGGAAAGGGTAATTAATTCAATATCGTGGCCTAGTGAACGAATTTGTATTGACAATTCAAGCGGCAGATCGGTTGGGCCAATCGATGATGTTGATGACAGACTAACCTCGAAACGCAGCGCGAGGTTACGACGCAGGCTGGAGAGCTGTAGATAGAAGGCTGCAAACCGCCCGAATGGTCAACAACTCCCCAGCGAAGAGACACACCCCCAGCGGGGTCGACATGGAAGTGAACGAGCAGGACACGGAATTTGATGCGGATGAAGAGGGTGGCCTGAGGGTGGATGATGAGATATACATCCCACCACCTTTGAAAAACTTTAATGAGATTGATGAGACTGGATCCAGGCTCATGATTGCCAAGATTGTTAACAAAAACTTCAAGAGCTATGCTGGCATACATATAATTGGTCCCTTTCAAAAGGTAAACACATCGATGTGTGTATCCAATTCTGCCTGGCTTCATAAATGTAAGAGTTATTTAATCTTTAATTTTTATTATTGATCTTTTTCGAATTCTAGAATTAGAGAAAGATAAATAGTAAGTTAAATTCTTAAAATTGGAAAAATATAAATAATAAGTTAAACGAAGATTATGTTAATCTTTCATTTATAGAACCAGGTCTTAATAATAAATTCAATCACTGATATTGCATTGGATTAATGCACATTAAAAATTGCTATTTTATGTAAATTATCTAAATATACTGATACAATAACTCTGACAATGAAATATGTATACATTCTGTTAAATAATATGACAATATTATAATATAAATATTTAATCATTTAAAATTTATGTTATACGATAACTATGTGATTAAAGCCTGATTGCGCTAACATTACTTTGACTTTAAGCAAGGCTTAAAACTTTGTTTCTGTTTTTCTTTTTAAAATGTGAGAGAGAGAAAGAGAGAGAGAGAGAGAGAGAGAGAGAGAGAGAGAGAGAGAGAGAGAGAGAGAGAGAGAGTTTTAAGTCTTGCTTAAAGTTAAAGTAACATTGGTGCGATCAGGCCTTATGAATTATCTCCATGTCTAGATCCATTACTAGAATGCCAACGTTTTGTGAACATTGCAGTTTATTTTGTCATGCTTTTATGGCTGTGTTCCAAAATTCACTACCAGTATTGTATAATATAAATAAATGTATAATATAAATAACGTAAACTATAGATTTTCAGTGCTGGCAATGAATTTTGAAACACATTACATCTACATTTAACTTGGCCAATTTTATGTACAGCAGCACTAATTTAGTATAATACAAGTGAATTTGTTATGAATTTGTTATCAGAACTATTTATCAAAGCTAAACTAGTGTACGCTTTTGGAACTTAAAGTTAAATAGATATTTGGGACAAGTGAGGAAATTTTAGTGCAATCTAATGCAAAAATAAACAACAAAATTTATTATTTCTTTCTTTCAGAGTTTCTCAGCGATAGTGGGTCCCAATGGCAGTGGCAAGAGCAATGTGATAGACTCTATGCTGTTTGTGTTTGGCTATCGTGCTAGCAAGATTAGGTCGAAAAAAATCTCTGTCCTGATACATAATTCCAGTGAGCATCCGAATGTGAACAGTTGCACTGTTTCCATACATTTCCAAAGAATTATCGATAAGGTAATGATATTAATGATTTAGAGTTTAAGGTATAAGTACAAGTATGACAGTTTGATTTTTGCTAGCAATTAATAATAATTAATAAGACTATAATAATAGTAATATAATAATAGTAATATGATAATAATAAGTAATAAGTATACTAAGCTAATTAATTTTTAATCAAATTAATTTTAAGCCTGGTGAAGACTACGATGTTGTTTCGGATAGTGAGTTTGTCATATCTAGAACAGCATTCAAGGATAATTCATCATATTATGAGCTTAACAAGAAGAAAGTACAATTTAAAGAGATTGCTAAACTCTTGAGGTATCATGGAGTCGATTTGGATCACAATCGTTTTTTGATATTACAGGTAGAATCATGTAATGTTTTATTATTGGTAGAATCTAGAATAGATTTAACTTGAGAAGATTTTTTTTAATCATGTGAACACATGTAATCTATTTGATTCTTATTTTCGTATCATTTTTAAAATAATTCTTGTGAAAAACCAAACTTTATATAGTTAATTTTCCTCTATCTTTCCAATGTAATTGTTTTTATACACATTTGTTGATTATTTCTTAAACACATTTAATATTTTGAATTTTTCTAGTGTTCTTTTTTTAAAAAAATACCAAAATATTTACAAAAACTTAGTTTCAAAAGTTAATACATGTTAAATTATACATGTTAAATTACTTAAATTATATTTAAAATCAATTTATTATATATAAAATACAATATATATTAAATATTGAGTTATCCGGAAAATTCGTGTCGATTTTGAAGGAAAATTGAAACGCAGATTTAAATTTTTAATTTCATTGATTAAATTTAAATCTTTTGCACGAATTTTCCGGACAACCCAATACATTCAAATCAGAATACATATTAATTACATTAAATTCTATATTGGTAAAAAAATTCCATGAGAATTGCTTTCTTTAGGGTGAAGTAGAACAAATTGCACTAATGAAACCAAAGGCTCAAAATGAAAACGATACCGGAATGTTAGAATTTTTGGAAGATATTATTGGCACATTTCGTTACAAAGAACCCTTGGAGAAATTATTGAATAAGATCGAAGAATTAACAGAACGTAAAATGGAGAAGCTGCATCGACTTAGAGTTGTGCAAAAGGAGAAAGAGGCTTTGGAGGAGCCTATGCAAGAGGCAATACAATTCTTAAAAACGGAGAATTCAATGATCAGTTTGCAGCATCAAATTTATCATTGCAAAAGGTGAGTTGTTCATGAAAATAGTTTTATTATTTGATTTAAATCTGAAGACATTTGAAGTGTTACATCAGCTTAGCTAACTATTGAAAATTACGAAATATTTCTATCAGATTCGAGGCAATGAAGAAGCTTGTTGAATGCGAAGCGACGAACGATAATATTACTAAGGAATATACTACATTGACAGACGAAATGATTAGTGTTAGCAAAGAGAAGGAGGAAAAAAGCAAGATTATTAAGGAGAAGAACAAGAAGTGGGACGCTTTGCAACGGCAGAAGGACGAAGCCACGGCGAGATTCGATGAACTGCACAAGCAGGACGAGTCGCTGCACGCCGAACTAATAGAAACAAATAAGCGACGAAAAGCCAATATAGCGTCTAGTAAAACGGTAATTTTTCTCTTTATTATTAACAAAAATCTTAAAAATTGAATTTACATGTAAATTATAAGTATTATATTTTGTTATATACATTTTTTTGTATCAAATTATATATTTGGTAATTTATGTAACGATCACAGGAGAAAAGTAAGCTGGAGGAACTACTGAAGGTACCAGAGAAAAACGCCAAGGATATTAATGAATGCGAGCATCTGATCGAGACGCAGGCAGCCAATAAAGAAAACGAAGAGGCTGCGTTAGCAACTTTGATGTCGAATCTACGAGAAAAGACAGAGCCGTTACTGAATGAGCGGTCCAAGTTGGAGAAAAAGCTGATATCTCTTAGGAAAGATGTGGATCAAGCGAAAGCAGCATATGATATCGCGCAATCAGAGTTGGAACTTTATACATCGGTAGAGAAAATCGAGAAAGAGAAATTAGAAAATCTCCGAGAGGCTTTGGAAAGAACTGCGAATACTCTCAAAGAGCGACAAAAGCAGCTGGCATTATTCGAGACGAAAATCCCGGCAACTGAGCGCAGTTTGAAACAGGCACAGAGCGAACTAAATGAAGCAAAGGCACTCGAAAGCGAGAAAACCACTCAGCTGCAGAAGATGCGAATTACTTTTGAGGAACAGCGTTCTGCCATGCAGGCCAGTAGATCACGAAATCACATCTTAGACTCATTGATGAGAGAAAAACGTGAGGGACGATTACCTGGAATATTTGGGAGACTGGTGAGTGAGATTTTCCAAAATGCGCGAAATAGAACAGCATTGCATTGGTTAACCCTGATCAATATTCGCAGATTAAGTAGACTCTGATCCAATTGGATATTTCTTCAATTATATTGTGAAAGATTCTTTTAACTAATGTTTTTCACTTTATGTATTTTTAAGTACATAATTTTATTCTTCGAATTTTGACCTTCAACAAAATGAAAAAAAATTATTCAATTACATTAACTTTAAACAAAGATACATTAATTTGAAATACACTGGATCTGCGAATATCAAGATTTTCTTTTACTTAAAATAGCAAATTTTGTAAGAATTTGTTTCTGTATAGGGCGATTTGGGCGCGATTGATGCCAAATACGATGTCGCTGTGTCGACGGCATGTGGTCCATTGGATGACATTGTTGTGGACACGGTAACCACTGCGCAGGCATGTATCACCTATCTACGACAACATAACATAGGACGTGCTACATTTATAGCTTTAGAAAAACAGCAGCGATTCCAAAGTAAGATCAATCAGAGGATCCATACACCGGAGAACGTACATCGACTGTTTGATTTGATTAAAGTAGAAGATGAGCGAGTGCTGCCAGCGTTTTATTATGGTCTTCAAGACACTTTGGTAGCGCAGGATTTGGATCAGGCAACACGCATCGCTTATGGTAGCATACGATACCGCGTGGTAACATTGAAAGGCGAATTGATCGAACTATCGGGTACGATGAGTGGTGGTGGTCGCACAGTATTCCGAGGTCGGATGGGTCAGAAGGTGGTGAGAAATGAGCCATCGAATACTGATATTGAAAAATTACAATCGCAGTTGGATACTATATTTGAAGAGTGCAATAAGCTGAGAGCGAAGCAGAAACCTCTGGAAGAACAAGTCCATGTGTTGACATCTGGTTTGAAAGATATGAAAATTAATAAACAGAAATTCAATATCGAGGTACAGACGCTGAGCGAGCAGGAGCCATCATTGCGAGCGCAGCTGAAGGCACAGGAAAAAACTGTCGCGAACGCTATAACAGACCCAAAGAAAGTTATGCAACTACAGAAAGTGGTGGACGCGACGAAATTGCATCTGGACGAAGTCGAAGAGAATTCCGCTTCAGTAGAGCAAGAGGTGAAACGTATCAACAAGAAGATAGATGATATCTCCGGCAGTCGAGTGCGGGATCAGCAGGCGAAAATTACACAGCTGACCAAATCGGTAGATAAAACCAAGGCGGAGATATATCGTCTGCAGGTGGCTATTAAAACTGCCGAGAGAAACGTCAAGAAGACTGAGAAACACATAGAAACGCTGGAAAACGATGTACACACCTGCGAGCAGAAGCTAAGGGACATTAAGAAGGAAAAATCCGAACTCGAGGAACATGCTAAAGTCATTCTGGATGAATTGAAGGGACTCAATGAGGCATTGGTAGAATGGGATGACGCCACATTGTCTTTGAAGAACGAGCTGAACGAACTGCAGACGCGTGAGGACAAAATGAAGGCGATGAAGATCGATGTGGAGCAGAAATTACAAGAGAATAAGAAATCATTAAAGGAGTTCCAGCAAATGATCCCCATGTATAACCGGGACATAAAGAATTTGAAACTACGTCAGATTCCCCATGAGGCTTTAGAGCCACTTAAGGATCTGACTGAGGAAGAGATCAATCAATTGGACATGAAGATATTGCTGCAGAATTTGATGAAGATAAAGAAAAAGCTACCCGAGCAGATACCCAACATGCAAATCATTGCGGACTACGAGGAGAAAGACGCACTGTATATAAGCCGTGCCGCTGACTTGGAAGAGACGACATCGAAACGCAACAAGATGCGTGACATCTACGAGACTGCTCGACGACGCAGGATCCAGGAATTCCTACACGGTTTTACCCTGATCACTACCAAGTTGAAAGAGATGTACCAGATGATTACGCTTGGCGGCGATGCAGAGCTAGAACTGGTGGATTCGTTAGATCCGTTAAGCGAGGGTATTGTATTTAGTGTGCGTCCACCCAAGAAATCATGGAAGAGCATCGATAAACTCAGTGGCGGTGAGAAGACTCTAAGTTCGTTGGCGCTGGTTTTCGCCCTCCATCATTACAAACCTACGCCTGTGTACTTTATGGATGAGATTGATGCGGCACTCGACTTCAAGAATGTCTCCATTGTTGGTAACTACATCAAAGAGCGCACGAAGAACGCACAATTCATCGTCATCTCGTTACGTTCGAATATGTTCGAACTGGCCGACTCTCTGGTGGGCATCTACAAGACGTTTAACTGCTCTAAAAGTGTGACTCTTCGATTGTCCCGTTACTACGAAAATAATGGTATCGTGCCGCCTACGCAGCTTACATCGAAGACCTACGCGTCCCAGGCCTCGCAAAAATCGCGATTGCCCTTGTCGCAACACACTCAGACGAATTCATGCAAAAAGAACACACCCACGAAGGATGAAAATGCGAAAGAAACATTATTGAACGAGAAAAAGACGTTGCCGACGAAGGATAATAATACGAGAGAAATATTATTAAACGGGAAAGAGACGTTGCTCGCGAAGAACAATAATGTGAAAAAAATGTCATTGAATGGAAAAGAAACATCGTCCGCGAAGGACAATAATACGAAAGAAACGTCATTAAATAAGGAAGAAACGTCGTCCACAAAACACAATAACGCGAAGGAAACACCGTCTGATGCGGAAATAAACACAAAAAAGAATAACGCAAAGACACCAAATGGAAAGCGGCAGAAAGTTGATCAACTAGGGTGAGTTATTATTTCTTAAGTTATTATTTCTTAAGATTCTAGAGATTCCTTTTATTGTAATTATATTATTTTACGGAAAGTAAGGTACATTAAGAATTATATAATTTTCTAATTATTCGAAATAAATTTATTTTTTATGTGTTATATAATAAACACGGAAGTTATCTTTCAATGGCTGTGTTCAGCAGAGAAAGCGGCTTTGCAACTGTTGTAAAATTCTTCATTACGATTGGTTTATATATTTAGATCCATAAGAAACCAAAAGCAAGAACCAATCATATTGAAGAATTTTACAACAGTTGCAAAGCTACTTTCGCTGCTGAATGCAACCATTGAGTAAATTACTGATGAATGATTACTGTACATTTTGGAAAATAGTAACACGTTTTCTATTGCTTAACAATAAGTTGATTGTTAGCGAATGAAAAATATGTTTTTTTTATAATTAAAAAAGATTAGATATGAATTATCTTATTATTGAAATAATTTGTTTTTTGATTGATTCTTTGCTTTAATTAAAACCTAATTGTATATTACATTTATTGTAATGCAGAACATTAACTACATATATCGTAATTTATTGTCAAAGTTACAACAAAATATTTAAAAAATTCAAAGATATTGAATAAAAAAAGACTTCTATGTTTAATATTGCATTGCAATACAATAACTAAAAAATAAATATTTTAGGCACGCTAAAATCCACGCGATGTTGAAAATATACTTGCTCCAGCAATAAAAATAATATAATAAAATATATTAAAATTTTATGTAGTAGCGAAAGAGTTGAAGCGATTTTATTATCTATCATCGTAAATTTCGCATTGAAATTCATTGTTGCATCGTTAATTGTTTCAGTCTTCCGGAATTGGCGGTACGCTTAACGCCAACTCGGCACTCTTCCAGGCTTGCGAAGAAAAGCATGGAAAGAGAAGAGAATGACAACAAGGGACCAGCTAGGAAAAAGCAAAGGTCGCAGTAACATGACTTCCAGAATCAGAAGATATGCCGGGATTTGATGCTAACAACTCCTAGTATAAATATTATAAATTAAATATTATTATATTTTTGCATAATGAATTGTAGAATACGATTTTTTTGCATCCTCATAGCCCTGTAACGTTGGCTAAGGATGTGAAGTAATGTACCATAACTTACTGTGTAGAAAGTTATCATAACAGATAAAATAAAAAAAATAGTCGATATAATTTTATTTTTAAATTTAGTGTTATACACGCGAATTTTCTCAGTTTTATCGAACGATTCAAGATTTTTGTGTAAGATGTTGGGAACGCTTGTATAACAGAATAAAATACAGGATTCGCTTCTTTTATCTGTTTTTTCTTATATTTCACTTTTTTTTGTGTTCTTAAATCAGAATCAGATACGTATATGTATTTCATTTCGAATATAAATCGAGCAATTTGATTCAGTTAAGAGAAGCGGATCTATAATAAGTGCAAAATGCAATATTTTTATATGTTTGTACGAGTCGCCTATGAAGAAACTATATTAAAATATTATTGAAACAGGAATTGAAATGCTTCATGTTTAATTTTAATTTCATGTCCTAGCACATAGATCCTTATTTATTCATTTTTAATTGTAAAGATTATTTGCGTGTGTTTGCCGAGTTTCTCTTTTCAAACATTCGAATGTTCACTCGAAATGGTTGCGATTATGCTAATAGAGGAACGAGTAATGCATTCGAAAATCCGGAGAAAATGACTTAAGGCTGATACTCGCTTCGTCGCGAAACAATTCCTTCAGATTTGTTTTGTACTGTGCTGAAAAAAATTTTTTTTTTTTTTAAATTTAACCCACGGTTTTAGATATTTCGATCTTCATGAAAAGGCAGAAATCAGGTAAATCACCTGTTAACTACAACGATGATGACGGCGCCGATGATAATGGAGGGAGGGAACGGAAACGAGATCGAAAAGGAAGGGGCATGCCCGTATAAATATCGCCACGGCGGGCGAGATAAGGATTTTAACGGAGTGTGAGGAGACGCGACGTGCGAAATGACGGCTATCAAGAAGGATGAAGACGCCGATGTCGTCGAGAAAACGTCGCAAAAGTTGCCCACCGCGTCTCCGATCCTGCAACAGAGCTGTAAGAAAATCGTCAGTGACTGTGGATAATACTTGAATTTGATATTCGAATAAGGATTTAATATACGTCTGAAAGGATTGTAATCTGTGGAATTTATTTAAGAATCAGATTTCTTGTAGCGAATTCAATTGAAAGCATTAGTGTGCACTAGTGCGTATTAAAGCCGTTATACAATGATTTAATTTGAGTGTAAAAGTGAAAAACAAGTATTTCAAATTATAAAATATATATTTTATCTAACAACAAAATAAAGTATTGAATACTTCATGATTTAATCGGTTTTCATGTGTATCAGTGCGCATTAAAAGCGTCCAATCAATTTCGTTATTAGATTTATCTTAGATAGTAAGCTAATCATCATTTTAACATCTAAAAATAATTATTTAAATGCCGACATTTTAACGATAACGATACTTACTATCTGAAATTGTACCTAATGAACAAATTTTTGAAAAAATGTCTAGTCGTCAGGTATCATAAAACATCTATTTTTCTATGAAATATATTTCTGTAACATGTATTCTATTTTTCTATAAATGTGTTTAAAATGGGGAAAAAATATGTTCGATTGACGTAAATATTGTTCAATCAACGAAATGCTTGGAACAAATGAAAATTTATAGCTTCTAAGTATAAGCTTCTAAATAAATTCAGAATTAGTTAGCGAATTATGAATTTACAAGGACAGAGAGAGACTCGGAAGTAATCCTGACTGATTTTAATGAAAGTTGATAGGATTATAAAGTATGTTTCCCTAAATATAATTATATCTCTATTTGAGCGTAACCGTTTTCGAAATATTAAATTTAGTAGCAGCAGTTCATTAGAGTTTATTAGAATGTTTATATTTGAGTACTTGTAGCATAGTAGATATGGTAACAGCTTCTTAATTTATAGACTTGAGTTCAAACCTCACTAACAATTAAATTCTCTTTTATTATATAATAATGTTTTATGATAGGAATAATTGTTATATATAAGATAAAAGAAATAATTATTTTTATTACATATCTTTATAAATTTTAACACGATAAAACATAACAAAAAAAAGTTAATAAAATATAAATTTTTAAAGTACCATAAATTAAGTATAAACTTTAATGAATTGCGCTATTAAATTTAATATTGAAATATCTCAGTTGATTGTTACCCAAATAGAGATATGATTTTCATTGAAAATTTTATTTAAAATCTTGCGAAATGTCACACGTAGGAGTGTAGGAGAACATTTGTAGCTTCATCAAATTGAAGTCATTAAATTTAATTAAGTGATTTATATATGTTTACTTATTTTTTTACTGAGACAAGTTTGCAAATAAGACTTAATGCAAAGATATCTAGTGTATCCTAGTGTGGAATGTATCCTTAAATTAATCCTGTCAGTCGTAACTATCTTTAGGCTCATATCATAATCATTGATATCGGATTAATAATTGTGAAGAGACACTGAAATAAAAAAATACGAGTGAAATTACCTTTATATTTTTTTCAATAAAAATCATTTACAAAAGTACATTAAGGAGCAGTGAAAGTAAAGTAATAATAGATTATCGCAAGTTATTTATGACTAATGTAGAACCATTTATGATACAACGTATGTAAAATTTGCATTAATATGCAAAACGACCTTTCGATACGGATTGGTTGAAATAATATCATGAATTCGTCCTTTTTTGTCGCAATTGTATAATTTCATCTACAGAGTACACATATTGCAATAAAGCCCGCACACATTTTGTTCGTATACAATACAATATATAATTGCGTTGTTAAACTTCGCAAGATTACCTTGAAGATAAAGCGTAGCGAAACATACTCGATCTTTTAAATTTAAAAAAAAGATATTATTTAAAAAAAACAGTTTAGAAAAATATATGTGCATAAAGGTATCTTTTGAGTGATAAGAAAAGTCGCAGAGGAAAAGTAGTTTTTGAAATTGCTTGTCACTTATGATATAGCGTCTTCTATAAACTATTATATTACTAAAAATAAACATAATAAATATAGAAAGATCGAAATAGTAAAATAATAAAGATATAAAAATAATATAATAGTAATAACAAATACAAACACACACAATATAATAATAATTAAAAGAAGTTAGAAACGTCAATAATAACAATGCTATTTAAAAATTAATGAGAAATATTTAATAAAGCGAAGGGGCAGATGTGTAAAATCCTTGAAAATACGATATTTCAAATCTTCTAATTGACTCAGTTATGCTACCATTTGAATCTTCATTTTGTAATTATCGACAAAAGATGTTGAAAGTGTTTTTCTAACGCGTATTCGATAATTCCCTTGTTTATCGTTTGGTTACTTTATCTGGGATTATCGGGTGTGCAAGTTGTAAGTTCGCTTCGTTTCGATTACAATAAAAAGCGTCACGTTATCGATACTTAGAGTGAGCTGTCGTCTATAACTTGGGATCGATGATCCAAAAATACAAATCGTGCGCGACGATCGACGGATGACGGGTCCATTTCGCCGTATATTATTTCTCTCTCATTAATGAATAATTATATTATGAAAAAAATTATATTTTTTATATTTTATCATATATATTATATTATCTCGTATATATTATATTATCTCGATATCTGTGTATTTTCTACTAAATCTCGTTACGTATCACGATTTATTTTTGTATGATTGCTCCTGCTTATGTCTTATCGGATTTCACTCGCTATATTGATTAGTTATCATCCAATTTCGATGAGAAATGTATGAGAATGTATCGTTCGAACTTGGCATATTTTTTTATACTTATGATGCAATACTTATTTAATACTATCGCATTCTACTTATACTTTCTAAGGAATACAATGTTTACGTTGATAATATATTTTTTCTATTGTGGAATGTGACTTCTAAAATTTTTGAGAAGATTCTCATTATCATTATCATCGGATATTTTACTTGATACAATTGGCTATATGATAACATAGGTTAATTAAAAATATAATCTCGAAATTATTATATCTTTATAATATTAATGAAATGTGTATATCAGTCTATAATGATAAGTTTCAAGGTAATTTCTCTGTATAACAAGCGAATAATGTTTTTTTAAAATCAAAATTTCGAATTGTTTTTTCTGCAAAGAATAAAATTTGTTTCATAAATTGTTAAATAAAAATCTGATATAACATACGCTTTTCTTCTACGTTGTCCACGTGTTTCTTTTCTCTCGAGCCATTATCTCGCTGTATGTTAACTGGATATCATCGGCACATACCTACGTAATTATACGTGTCCTGTGTAATTACGTGATGATTAATAACGACTTTGTAACGGAGAATTAGTATGCAGGAACTTTAATCACTATTCAAGCCATAAACATTCCTAAGTGAAATCTGAAAATTAAGTTGATTTATAAAACAAAGATTCTTCTATAAAATTGTTGATTAAAGAATGAATTTTAATTGGAATCGATATCTTTCTGTGTGTTAAATAATTGATCTTGATACAAATCGGTCATTTTAAATTGAATATATAAACTTGTGTTATCGCAAAATGTTTTATTTGTTTTCTTTTTAGCTGAACTTGTGAGTATGAACCATTTATTTCTCTTTTCTCTTTTTTTCTCCAACGTGAAGAGAAAAAGAGGAAAAATTCTTTCTAGTAAACTACACTTTAATTATACTTAAAATGAAAATATATTTGAAATTTGGCGAAAATGAAATAAAAAGTCCAATACAGAGACAAAAAAATAGGTCTATTTTCAATTCAGGCTATGTTTAGAAACATCCAGAGTGCATTATTTTATTTAACATTCAGTGAACAACGAAGATAAAATGATGCCATGAATTCCCAAATTTCTTGTAACGACGATTCATCCTTTTTATTTCTCTCTTCACGTTGAAGAAAAAAATAAAAAAGATAAACGATATAATAAATTCAGTTAAAAAGGACAAGTTTATTGATCTACGGAAGTACGACCATGGTTTAATTCGTTTTTCTAACATCGCGTGGTACGAGCGAAACTCGCTTTCTTGTAAGCAAATACTAATATCTGCGGATTTATGCTATCGGATTTGTCATTTGTTATCATAAATGGGATTACTTATAGATTATAGCTATTACAGTTGCAGTAACTACGTGCAGTTAAATAATTATTGCAATATACTCAGTAATTACACTTATCAATTTATCATTCCTTCGATAAGTATGTGTCTTGAAAAAATTTCAAATTTTTTTTTAATGGCAAAAATTATTTACTTTTTACTAAATGAAGAAATATTATTCATTATTATTATATTTAATGTTTCTTTCATGTTTTTATCATCATCTTTTGTTTTATTATCGTTAGTTACTAAACTGCATTTTTATTTTATTACGCTTTTTTACGATCTATCGTTTAAGGCTCCATAATTTTACATAATCCACTTGTCATTTGTATCTGAACATCTTTTGTTGTTTGCTCACTCGTTTACTTAATTATCGCTAGTACTTGAGATTATCTCAGTTCAAGATTAATTTTAACATTATTATGATGATAATAATTTCTAAAAATTTGAATGTTAATTGAAAATCATATTCGCGTTTTAGATTGATTAATGTTCGATCGTATTTCCTTTGATCGCTGAAAATTCTTAATTTTTTTCTCAAAAAAGAAATCAACGAAATTTGTAAATGATAAGACATAATGAAATAATTTTTGATTAGCTTTTATTTTTGTAAATTATGTAATAAAAGTATCAAATTTAGATAATTGAATAAGGAATTTCTATTGTTATTTATATAGATAAAATAATAAATACTATATAATAATATATAATATTTATATAAAATAAATATTAATCAATTTGATATTAAATTGTATTGTTCAGAATAAGAGAATAAACTTCTTTTGCAGGTATGTTCGGGATCAGACATCTGCAAACATTGCTGCTTTTCCTGGCCATGACCATCGGATACACTCTCAGGGTTGGAATGTCAGTTGCCGTGGTTCCAATGGCGAATTCGAGTACCGCGAATCCAAATATCGAGGTAAAATTATGTAATTGCCTTTTTATCTTGGCTTAAAACTGATAATTCAGACTGATGCTGACACAATGCTCAAACAATTTAAAATACTCGAGATTATATTTTAGTGATTGTCAGAGAAGTGTACCGAGTTATATAATTCAATGAACTCATTGTAGCTTGAGAAAATCTATGTGTACAAAACATCACAATTGCTTGTGTACGTCCTTATATTTATAATTTCTCATTAATTTAATGATACAAATCTTGTGCGCGATTTTACATTTCTGCGAAACGAAATTGTTGAGTTTGACTGATCATTTAAAGAATTTTTAATTTGATTTTTTTTAATATCTTGCACTGATTGAAATATCAGTCATATTTTTTTTACATTTAGATTTTAGATGATACTAAATTTTACGTCAAAATGTCGAACTGATTTGTCGAAATGATTTGTTGCAATTGATTTGACGTAGATTCTGTAGACTTTTATATTGAGTTATATTGGGTATCCAATTAAAAAGGATATTTGAAGCTGTTGAATTATTAAGTTTATCCAATCGAGCGTAACTGCTTACGTCGATAGATCGGTTTTTATCAGTCACAGAATGTCTCGTAAATTTACGCTGTCACCGAGCTGGAATCTGTGTCGGAGGAAGGAAATTTTCCTCAATAGTATCCGCGGAATCGGGGGAGTAAAGGGTATTAGGTCAGATTGAATGTGATGAAATACTGTTCCTCTGCGCAAGATTGATCGCGGTAACTAGATAAATCTAGTTACAGAGACTTTCCGCAATTCTTTATGTTAACCCAGCTGTAGAATATGAAGCCGATACAATCACTCTTACGCGACTTTTTTGCTCATAAATGCATGGATCTCGAGTGCAGATAACAGCTACTGTTGTCTTTTCAAGGTCACTAATAAGAATCGTCAATGATGAATTGTCAGATTTTAATTGTCGCCGATTGTCTCTTCGATTGTTGATAAACTTGACAGATTTATCTCCTATCATCACTTTTGAATTCTTGTTTATGTTGGAAAATCAAGAACAAGAAATCGAGATTAAACATAAGTGATAATGATAAAATTTAAGCATGATAGCATCTAAAGCTGAAAAATTTTAATGAGTATAAATTATATTGTATTATATATTGTGCATTATGCATGTACGTATATCAAGAGTCCATTTAAAAGTAAACTGCTTAGGACTTTTAAAATGATTATGAAAACATGTACACATATTGTATAAGGTCAAAAGAAATGAATAATCATAGTTTTGCATTCAAGATATTAGAGGTGATCATATTAAAAAATTGGTCTTTCTTTGACATTTATATCTAAAATCACAAAATATACAAAATTTTTATAGATGTATTTTTTAGAATTTTTTAAATTTAACTTTCAGATAAAAATGTTAATTTTAGTGAAAAAAAATTTAATAATACAAAAAAATTAATTTTTCAGTTTTATATAATAAATAAGAAATTATATCCATTTTTTTTAAATCTGAAAAAATTTTCAAGAATTACTCTTATATATATATAGAATATGGTATCATAAAGAAAATTTGACATCACTTGTAAACAAATATTTTTTCCAAAATAAAATTGGAATTTCAGTTTAATCATTATAAAACAAAAATTATTTAAGATATCTCGTTTTACATTTATTTTTCTAATGTGTTATTGCTCAATTATTTGTTAATAGTTGTAATAAATTTAACGTTTAAAAATTAATTTTTATTAATTTTTATTTGAAAGTACGAAAAAAATCCTTGAAAATTTATGTGCATAAAAATTTTGTATATTTTGTAATTATAGCTACAAATATCAAGAAAAGAAAATGTTTTAAAACAATTATAA